GTGGCGCTGTGGGTAAAAGCCTCAGTGCCTAGGGCAGGACGCGGGTGGTGCTGTGGGTTAAACCACAGAGCCTAGGACTTGCTGATCAGAAGGTCGGCGGTTGAATCCCCCGCAACGGGGTGAAGCTCCCGTTGCTCGGTCCCTGTCCTGCCAACCTAGCAGTTCGAAAGCACATCAAAGTGCAAGTAGATAAATAGGTACCGCTCCGGCAGGAAGGTAAACGGCATTTCTGTGTGCTGCTCTGGCTGCACGTTGGCTCCCTAGGCCAATAAAGCGAGATGAGCACCACAACCCCAGAGTCGGACACAACTGGACCTAATGGTTAGGTGTCCGTTTACCTTTAATCGTAAGGTGCTCAGGGTAATTGACCTGGTTCTTCCACGCCACTTTATCTTCACAACCCCAGGACGTAGGTGAGACCGGTAGAGCAACTGCCCAGTTGAGTCTCAGGGCTGAGTAGCAAAGGGAATCCAATGTCTCCTCACTCTTAGTCCAACAAACTAACCATTACACCCAACTCAGCCTCATGTGAAGTATGACTTCTTGAAAGCAGCAAAGAGCCACATCTGAACATTTCCTGCTACTTCTCTTACTAAAAAGTAACATAAGAAGTGATCTTTCATGAATTATTCCCAAATGTTTTGACCCGACAAACAGATCAGCCAGCGATCGACTGAGAGCTATTAAAGTAGCTCTGAAATCTATGACTTTTTTTGCCGTTGTTGCTGGCAGCAGTCCTACACACAGTGAAGTCATGCTTGAAACCCAGTGGCCTCCTTTGTGAATCCAGATCCTTATCGACTGTTTGCTGAACTTCTACAGATTTGTCTCTGTTATGTCCCTATTGGCTTGCTGTCTCACTTGCCTGTGTTGTTAGCAGATTCTCCTGTAAGATATGGTAGAATCTGCCGGTTGAACAGTTGTTAATTCTTTAGAAGGTGAGCCTACAGATCAAATCGATTTGCGTTTCCCTCACATCTTACCAAGTACATGTCATTGACACTTTATTTCTGTACACAGTGGTACCTCTGGTTACGTACTTAATTCGCTCCAGAGGTCCGTTCTTAACCTGAAACTGTTCTTAACCTGAAGCACCACTTTAGCTAATGGGGCCTCCCGCTGCCGCCGCAGCACGATTTCTGTTCTCATCCTGAAGCAAAGTTCTTAACCCGAGGTACTATTTCTGGGTTAGCGGAGTCTGTAACCTGAAGCGTATGTAACCTGAAGCATATGTAACCCGAGGTACCACTGTATCTGAAATAATTGTCATTTATATCCTCTCTGTTTAATTATCTTGTTTTGTTTCTTCGTTGTTGAATGGGCTTGACATGTTTGCTATCTACTATTCTTTAAGGTGGATTTCTAGACTTTGGTAACATTCCTTCACATGCCGACATTGGATATAACCTAATCTGATCAAAATACTACGTTTAGGCTTTTGCTCTCACCATGACTAATGTGCTAAAGGGCATTGTATGCAAATGTTTATCTTCTGGACTTTGAACGTCTTACTAATGCACTTTTCAGATTTTCCCATCATTAACAGATTAGATGATTAGGCAACATGGTTGGGTGTGGGTGCACAAAGATAATTACAGAGGCTGTCTGGTTGTAAATTGATCTTTAGATACTGGTGATTGGTAAATGCAACTTTAGCTACTCTCAGTTGCAAAATCCTAGATAAAATCTTCAGTGTAATCTGCAACCTATACTCCCCCCACAAAAAAGTCCATAGTGGTCCTGGGGAAAGAATACACATCTACAAAACTTTATTAGCCTTTGGAAATGCAGTCAAAGTCCTTTTTCTTTGCTTCTCATCTTGACAGATACCTTATTTTGGAGATTAGAAAGAAAACTGGATGCATTTTCCTTTAAATTGTATGAATTCTTCTACAACTGAAGTAGTGCCACCATTTTCAATGCCCTTTTTTTACATTTTTTTAAACTTACATCAATTTATGAAGCAGCAGCATTTTCATTTCAAAGCTGGTTTAATTCAAAAATCATAAGAAGTCATTAGGGTGATCTCACACATCAGTTTGAATGCAGATTATTTGAGAAGAGAAATTGTATTTAGGGCATATATTTATCCCACAGTCATTGGTCATAATGCTTTTCTGTGAAGCTTCTGCTATACAGTGGCATGTTTTTACAGTAACATTTTTACTGTGCTTACTGGAGATCACTATAGCAGACGTTCCAACGAGGAGGAATTGCAGCTCAAGGTCACTGCTATCTTACACCTAGCGTATATGTTTTGTTGACTCATCAAGAGTGCATACCTTGATTCTAAATGTATTTTACTTGCAAAAAAAAAAATCCACTAGTTTCGACATAACTCTTCTTTTTAAGATTACAAGCCTCAAACAACATCCAGTAAGTCTTCAATGCATGTCTACCATGCATTAACATAACAGAAATTGATCCAGAAGTTCTTCCATCCTTCAAAGCAGTACTGTATAGTGTTGCACATTTCTGCCACAGTTTGTCATTGTGGGTGGACTTGCTTGGAGTCACACATTCATTTTAAGATGCCTTGTGGAATGTAGTTTTCTCTAATCTTAGCTATGTCAGTGTGTTCAGAAGCTGTCATATCTGTATGAACTATGATCTTGAAGTCAGAGAGATGGGCCATGCCTGAAACCTCACAAAACGTTATTTTTGAGAGAGGCATTTTCATGAAGCTGTTTGACATTTTACACTTGGGTTGTGGTGACGCTAGAATGCTGCTCTGGGCTCCTTGGAGAAATGTTGAGATAAAAATATAGTAAGTAAATAGACACTAGGCATTGCAGAGAGATTCCTCTGCTGAGGATTTGGGGTTTCAGAAAATTTTCTAGTATGCTATCGCAAGGGGGGTGGAATGCATCAAAGGATATGTAAGAGATAAGTTAGATTCTTTCACTGTATCACCAGGAGTTTTGGTTTTGGCAATTGCTGACAGATATTTATGAGGTTTCCAGCTAAGCACTGTATACTGAGCTCTCAAGGGACAAAATTTGTACTAACTAGCAGCAAGCAACATTAGAGTTTGTCTGTGTTGTAAGTTGTTACCATTATTTATTAAACGGATTAGTTGCCAATCCGAAGTGACTTACAACAATAAATAATAAACATTCAAAAAGACAAAGAATAGAAAAATCTAAAATACTTTCATACTTTTAAAGGCAGGAATAGAACACCCCAGCAATTAAAGGAGACTACAGATAATTAAAAGACAAAGGCCTAGCAGAAAATAAATGTTTTTGCTGGTGCCTAAAGATACGTACCACAGAGCCTAGGGCTTCCCGATCAGAAGGCTGGTGGTTTGAATCCCTGTGACGGGGTGAGCTCCCGTTGTTCAGCCCCAGCTCCTGCCAACCTAGCAGTTCAAAAGCACGCAGTGCAAGTAGATAAATAGGTACCGCTCCGGCGGGAAGGTAAACGGCGTTTCCGTGTGCTGCTCTGCTTTGCCAGAAGCGGCTTAGTCATGCTGGCCACATGACCTGGAAGCTGTACGCCAGTTCCCTCGGCCAGTAAAGCGAGATGAGCACCACAACCCCAGCATCATCCGAGACTGGACCTAATGGTCAGGGGTCCCTTTAAAGATATGTAATGATGGCACCAGGTGAGCTTCCCTGGGGAGAGCATTCCACAAATGGGGAAGCACCACTGAAAGAAGGCCCATTCTCATCTTGCTACCCTTTGGACCTCTTGGGGAGGTGGGGCACACAGAGAAGGATCTTAGATGGCAATCACAGGGTCAGTTCATGTGGGGAGAGGCAGTCCTTGAGGCCCAGAGCTGCATAAAGCTTTATAGGTCAAAACCACCACTTTGAACTGGGCCTTGAAGCTAACTGGTAGCCAGTGTAGTTGAGTCAGGGTTGGTGTTAATTTACTCAAACTGTCTTGCATCCTGGCAGCCAAATTCTTCACCAGCTGCAATTTCCAAACCATCTCCAAAGGCAGTCCCACGTATAACACATTGCAGTAATCTAACCTAGAGTTTACCAGAGCATAGACAACAGAAGTTAGGCTAGCTGTGTCCAGATAGGGGTGTAACTGATGGAAGGCGTTCTGCACCACTGAGGCCGCTTGACCTTAGGAATTTTTGTGGTCAGCCACAATAGCTGGAACATGTTACCGACGAAAAATCTAGGCAGACAAGTAGGAATAACCGTAAACAAGCTGGAAACCAAGCCCCAGATTAGTTCTGTTTGGATATAGCGTGTGGGAATACCAAAGACAATAGCATTGCAAATAGGCAGTGTAACATGCATTGTTAGAAACAGGTTAACTTGCAGTGCATTCATGTTCTCTGCCTTGTGTAATTAGGTATCCTGAGACTTGCAAGACATTGATCACCAGCCCAAGGACTCTGCTGTGTAGTAGTAATAATTTTACTATTTGTAACAGGTTACACCTGACTGGGTTGCCCAATAAACATTGCAGGATCTTTTTTCTTTCTTTCTTTCTTTCTTTCTTTCTTTCTTTCTTTCTTTCTTTCGCAGTGCAATAAAGATTAAAACATTAAAATGAAAGGTTTAAAGCCTATCTTTATGGATCCAGCCATAATTTAGTATTGGTTACTGAAAGACTGCCAGGGAAAAGCACATTAGTAATGACTATTTAAATCAGAGGCAACTGTTAATAATCCAGCACTATTCTCCAAATATTAGATGAACATTGAACAAAAACATAGTGCATCAAACTTTGTAAGGAACTGCCCCCTGCTGGCCTGGCATTTGTTTGCGTATAATTGCCAGATTAACATTTTCAGCATTACGTGTAGCATTTAAAATTAATCCTTTGTGCTCTCTTAGATAAAGGATGCCATCCTCCAGGCTTTCTGCTCTGCAAGCAACACTTATTTCACCCCAAAACACTTTAAAAAAAGTTGTAACCTGAAGTATTTGTGGTTGGGCAAAATATTGATGATATCATTATTTCACCAGCTTAAATTTTTATTGTTGCTTCTATTAATGTATATCTAACTGTGTTGTCTTTCCCCCTCCATTTAGGTGGAGAACAGACCAAAATACTACGGACGAGAGTATGTATTAAATTATTTGTAGGAAAATAACTTTTTAAGTAATAATCTGATGCATGACACTGTGCAATTTAAAATTGCTATGAAGAGATCATTTAATGTTAATGAAGAGATCATTTAACTCAGTGTTATTTCTCCATTTCTTTCCACGTACTTACTCAGTTTTTCTTGACTTCCCAGACTCTTCGTTTGCATGCACGTGAATTGTCTTTTCAGGTGGTACCTATAGTGTATATACATGTCTATGTATTTTGCAGTTAGAGATGTAGAGCAATCCTCACCCAGCCCTAGGAAGAACTGGAGAAGTGGAGCCACTGCTGTTGGTCAGGAAAGAAGGTGGCGGGGATCTTTTTGCTTTGGTTGTTTGTTTAAAAGGAAAGACCAGCTGGGTAACGCCAGAGGCCCATCTAGAAGAGTTTGGATTTGATATCCCGCTTTATCACTACCCAAAGGAGTCTCAAAGCGGCTAACATTCTCCTTTCCCTTCCTCCCCATAACAAACACTCTGTGAGGTGAGTGAGGCTGAGAGACTTTAGAGAAGTGTGACTAGCCCAAGGTCACCCAGCAGCTGCATGTGGAGGAACGGAGACGCGAACCCGGTTCCCCAGATTACGAGACTACCGCTCTTAACCACTACACCACCCTGGCTCCCAGAATAGTTCAGAATCCTATTCTCACTGTGGCCAGGAGCAGCAGCACTCTCCCAGCTTGTGATTTCCAACAGCTGGGATTCAGAGGTCTACTTCCTGCAACAGGAGAACGAGGCCATCACGAGTCATAGCCTTTGACAGCCTTATCGTCCTTGGTAAGGTGGAGTAGAGTGGGCCAGCTTAAAATCCAAGGAATCCTTGGCCTGTTCTGCTCCACCCCTTTTTGGAAACTTGTGCTGGCTGTGAACAGCAGCCTGCCATTCATACAAGTACAGCAAGGGGCTTCTGTAGCAGTGGACCCACCCACCCACCCCCTGCTAGCAGAGCCAGGGAGAAGGACTCTTCCACCCAGTCTTCTTCATTTATTTTTTAAATCCTAACTTAGGTCTCCTTTTCAGAATCACAGAATCGTAGAGTTGGAAGGGACCACTTGGATCATCTAGTCCAACTCCCTGCAATGCCCAGTGTGGGGCTCAAACCCACAACCTTGAGATTAAGAGCTCCACAGACTGAGCTATATGATCCAGTCTGAATCTGGTGTTGTCTATTCCAAACTTTAAAATGCTGGAAAACATAGTGCTGGTGGTTAGCAAAAGAGGTTTAAAGACTCTCTCAAGGCAAATCTAATAAAATGTAGTATAAACACCGACAATTGGGAAACACTTGCCTGCAAGCGCTCCAGCTGGAGAACAGCCTCTACCAAAGGTGTCATGGACTTTGAAGACACTCGAACTCAGGATGAAAGGGAGAAACGTGCTAAGAGGAAGGCACGTTTGGCAAACCCTCACCGTGATCAACTCCCGCCCGGAAACCTATGTCTCCAGTGTGGAAGGACATGTGGATCCAGAATTGGCCTCCACAGTCACCTACGGACACACCATTAAGACCATGTTCAGGGAAGACTATCTTACTCGGCCACGAGTGATCGCCAAAGAAGAAGAAGTCATACAAAATTGATCCAAAGGCAGAAGAGCTCGGAGTACAGGCAGAGAGCTTGCAAAATGTTACCGATTACTAAAACCAGTCCCTGCTAAGCCCCTGGTTCCAATATTTATTTATTTAAAATATTTATATCCTGCCTTTCTAAGACAACAGCCTTTTAAGAAGGCTTTTAACAGCAACAGAACAGCTGTAGGAAAATCCCAAAGCAATAATTAAAATGCTGCGCAAATAAATCAGTTGTGTATCACCACCATGGACAGCAGAATTCACCCAAAGCAGCCTGAGCAAATTAATGGAAAGTTGGTGGGCACAATTTTAATCTTGATTGCAGCATTCCTTGCTATCGGTTCCTCCCAAGATGCTCCCCCTGGCATCAGTTTGTTGTACATACAGAGGGACACAACCCTATCATGAACTATTTTGTAGTGACTTTTATGTATCCTCCTTCTGTGTTTTAACACTGAGTTCCTGTGGCCTTTCTCCCATTCAGAGTTATTCTCTAACCTGATGGCTTTCTGTTCCATCAGGTTTCATGGGATCATTTCTCGCGAGCAAGCCGATGAATTGCTTGGAGGTGTAGAAGGAGCATATATTCTCAGAGAGAGCCAGCGGCAGCCTGGATGCTATACCCTAGCTCTCAGGTGAGCTTTGCTGCTTCTGTTTGCAAATTTTAGGAAGTGCTTGTTGGCCATTGGGAACCTGAAGGAATTGTGGTTATAACAACTATATGCAAAACAGTATACTTTTAAAAATGGTATGATGTCGTCTGTAACGTGTTAGATATTATGATCCTTTAAACTTTAAAGCATAAATTTTTGCAGACTCAATAGTTGATTTTTTGCACTTTCTGTGATAATAATAACAATTTATTATTTATACCCCGCCCATCTGGCTGAGTTTCCCCAGCCACTCTGGGTGGCTCCCAGCAGAATTGAAAGCACAAGAAAACATCAAACATAAAAAACTTCCCTAAACAGGACTGCCTTCAGATGTTTTATAAAAGTCAGATAGTTGTTTATTTCCTTGACATCTGATGGGAGGGCATTCCACAGGGTGGGTGCCACTACTGAGAAGACCCTCTTCCTGGTTCCCTGTAACCTCACTTCTCACAGTGAGGGAACTGCCAGAAGGCCTTCGGAGCTGGACCTCAGTGCCAGGCTGAACAATATGGGCGGAGATGCTCCTTCAGGTATACTGGGCTGAGGCAGTTTAAGGCTTTAAAGGTCAGCACCAACACTTTGAATTGTGCTTGGAAATGTACTGGGAGCCAATGTACGTCTTTCAGGACCGGTGTTATATGGTCTCGGTGGCCACTCCCAGTCACCAGTCTAGATGCATCCAAAGGGCAGTAACAGCCACAGAGTACCCCCAAAATTATTCACATTATATCAACACCATAACCAGTTAGAACTAAAATTATACCAGTTATACCAACAAAAACAGCAACAACAATTTATTATTTATACCCCGCCCATCTGGCTGGGTTTCCCCAGCCACTACAGGCAGCTTCCAACAGAATATTAAAACACAATAGTCTATTAAACATTAAAAGCTTCCCTAAACAGGGCTGCCTTCAGGTGTCTTCTAAAAGTCTGGTAGTTGTTTTTCTCTTTTGACATCTGGTGGGAGGGCATTCTACAGGGCGGGTGCCACTACTGAGAAGGCCCTCTGCCTGGTTTCCTGTAACTTGGCTTCTCGCAGCAAGGGAACCGCCATGAATTGTATTTAACCATGATTTAAGAGTATCTTGGGTACAGAAAACTTAGAGCAGCTAACCTGCAACACTCTGGAGAAGCATAAGTTATCTACCCCTAGTGCAAATGAAGAAGGCCGCCTTATTGCGCTATGAGCACTGCATTTGCAAATAAGGGGATCGCAGGCTATCTTGAGTCTCTCATCAACTTCACTTACTGGTTTCTAAACCCTATTTAAGCAATAAAGTGAATTGTGTGCCACAGATTGTGCAAGACTTTCTATCAGCTTGTCCCCTGTGACAGTGGCGTAGCGTGGGGGGTGCAGGGGGGCCGGCCGCACTGGGCGCAACATCTGGGGTTAGGGCAAATCCACAGGTTAGGCGGCGCAAATCCACGGGTTAGGGGGCGCAAATTACTTGCCTTGCCCTGGGTGCTGACAACCCACGCTACGCCACTGCCCTGTGATAAGCAAGGTTCCCCCTGGTAACTTCAAACATAGCTAAGTGCCACATTGGCTCTGATTTGAGCTGATATTAAAGACACGGAGTTGGTTTTGATTCCTGCGTAAGAGGACACCCTGCTATACCTTGGTTTACTAATGCTGTGTTGTGACTGTTTAACCACAGTTAAGAAAGCAGGGAAAGAGCAGAAGGGAAGCAGGGATTGCATTAGTCCAAAGTTCTCTTCCGAGTGCAGTTGAGGATGTTCTGCACCGGTCTATAACACATGTTCATGCAGCCCTGGCACAAACCTGTTTCATCTGAATATATACTGGTTCCTTGAGTCTGTACTCCGTCCTCTACCTTTATAGCTAATGAGGAACATGGCCTTTTTATAGCCTGCATCATCTGAGAAATCAATGTTTTTAGTGTTCAAACACTAATGCAACAACTTCATTTTGTTTTAATGCAGGTTTGGCAATCAGACCTTAAACTACAGGCTTTTTTACGATGGGAAGCACTTTGTAGGGGAAAAGAGGTTCGAGTCAATCCATGATTTGGTAACAGACGGCTTGATAACACTGTACATAGAAACCAAGGCTTCTGAATATATTTCAAAAATGACAACAAACCCTATCTATGAACACATTGGATATGCCACTTTGCTTAGAGAAAAAGTATCCCGGAGACTGAGTAGATCAAAAACTGAATCGAGAAAAGCTAGTGTAACCACATGTGAAGAAAACGCACCAGTTGAAAAGGTAAGGTGATTCATGAGGAAATCAATCCATGTATAGATCTACCTTTAAAAAATGCATCTGGGTCACTCGGTCATTAAAATGCACTCAGTGGCTTGTCATCAACTAACTTTTAGTCAAAGTAAACCCACTGAAATGAATGGACCTCAGTCATGGCCATTAATTTCAGTGGGCCTACTCTGAGTAAATGTTAGTTGGCTGCAACCCAATGTATTTGTTTATATGTTAACATTTGCAGAAAGCTGAAATCAGATCTGTGAAATTATTCTGTTCCTCCATTGGGAATGAACTCCAGACGATTGCATGCCCTGCCTACAATAGCTTCCCATTGTAACAACAGCAGCAACAACAACAACTGTATACCACCCTTCCTCCCTAGATCTCAGGGTGGTTCCTTTCTGCACTTAAGAAATATGTGTTCAGGTAGCATCTCCCAGATAAAATGAGTGGAAAAAAGCACCTGAGCACATACAAATATTTAAATTCAAATGAGAAGCTAGATCTCTTGAGCTCAGCATTGTATACATCAATAAGCAGTACATCTCCAGGGTTTAAGGCATAATTCCCCCTCTCCCAGTCTTACCTGGAGATGCTGGTGATTGTAACCTCCCCACCTGGTCTGCAGTATCTGTATAAAAGAGAACGTAGCCTTGCTATTGATTCCTGAATGTAAGAATTTGTGCTGATTGCCTGTTCACCAGATCTCAAGTTTGTTAGCCTTTAACGCAAAGTTCAAATCTCTGCTTTACTATTTTGGTGAATGGGCCTGATTTTGGGGGCGTGGCTTTTCTTTCTTTCCATCTTTGCTTTTCGAAGTTGTTTTTGTAGTAGCTGAGCAAACAAGTAGTAGTTAAGGTAAAGGTACCCCTGCCCATACGGGCCAGTCTTGACAGACTCTAGGGTTGTGCGCCCATCTCACTCTATAGGCCGGGGGCCAGCGCTGTCCGCAGACACTTCCGGGTCACGTGGCCAGCGTGACAAGCTGCATCTGGCGAGCCAGCGCAGCACACGGAACGCCGTTTACCTTCCCGCTAGTAAGCGGTCCCTATTTATCTACTTGCACCCGGGGGTGCTTTCGAACTGCTAGGTTGGCAGGCGCTGGGACCGAGCAGCGGGAGCGCACCCCGCCGCGGGGATTCGAACCGCCGACCTTTTGATCGGCAAGTCTAGGCGCTGAGGCTTTAACCCACAGCGCCACCCGCTTATGTTAAGTAGTAGTTAACATAAAGCAATTCACGGAGAAATGCAGCTGAAAACAGCTTGAAATGTGTGACAAATGATGAATATTCTTATAAGAGGTTGTGTGTTCCCGCAGATTGAAAAATATTTCAAATGAAACCTTTTTTCTGGTGTAAGTGCTTTTGAAGGTTATTTAATACATAATTCACATAATGTGTTTGCATCGCAATCAAGATTATGTTGTTGACCCGCATCTGAAAAGCAGTGCCTGACTGCTGGAGGATGTAATTTATAGTTTTTATTTATGATACTGTTTCAGTCCCATAAGGACATTTCTAAAGACATTCTCTGTTCAAGACAGCAAACGCCTTAAGTTGAACTGGCTTTCGTTTCTAGTGCAAATGACCAAGGAAGACATAAGCAGTGTGAAATACACAAGAAAGCTTTATTTAATAATATTTAGAGCAACTGACATTTCAGGCTTGTGGAAACAGTAACACAAATTAAACTCAATTAACTATAAATTACTATTATTTAAGAGACACATGCCCAGAATAGAAAAGCACCTTACAAGGCTGTGATGAGCTGGTTTTTGGATTTTATATCAGCATATTTCAAAATCTGAGAGCTTCACTGTCAGAAAAAGGAAGGAAGCATAGAATTGCAGAGTTGGAAGGGACCAAGAGGGTCATCTAGTCCAACCCCCTGCAATGCAGGAATCTTTTTGACCCAAAATTTCAAGTTGTCACACTTCTGACAATCGGATCACTGTAGTTTTAAACCCTGGCCAATGGATCCATGTGCATACCCTTACAATATGCATGTGCTGCTTCATGCAACAATATTTGCATGCTCAACTGCTGAATACATTGTGCCACCCATTATTTCATGTATGGAGAAAAGAGGGGGGGGGACTTAAGTTCAGATTCTTCCACACCATCTGCAAAAACTTTCCAACAGATGATTTTGTGAGAACTGGTGGTGCAGTACATAAATTCAGCCACTGTAGACCACCCTTTATACAACACTGGGTGCTGGAGACTGTCGTTGATTAGTGTGGTGTAGGGGCACTAGTTTGTAATCTGAGAAAATAGTTTTCTATCCCAAAGAAACATTTCCTCCTAACTGATATGAAATAGGTTTCCTGCTATCAACATTCCTCCAGTCTTTAAGTCAACACTACTACAGTGGTACCTCGGGTTAAGTACTTAATTCGTTCCGGAGGTCCGTTCTTAACCTGAAACTGTTCTTAACCTGAAGCACCACTTTAGCTAATGGGGCCTCCTGCTGCCGCCGCGCCGTCGGAGCACGATTTCTGTTCTCATCCTGAAGTAAAGTTCTTAACCCGAGGTACCATTTCTGGGTTAGCAGAGTTTGTAACCTGAAACGTATGTAACCTGAAGCGTATGTAACCCAAGGTACCACTGTATTCTGCTTATAAACAGAATAAATTTATGAGTGGGACTTGGGAAGCAGGATTGGGTTGTTGGTTTTTCTTGTATTCATTGCTCCGTCTCCCAGTCTCCAAGCTGTGGTCCCTGAAATGTGCTAAGAAAAATGCTGCAGGAAGTTAATGTATTGTTGATAGCCGTAGCAAATATTTTTTTTTTCTTGTTGGAGTACGTTGCATTACATTCCAGAAAAATCTAATTTGTGATGGTTGGCAAAGACCATTATTAGTATGGGAGAAAGGATTTTATCCATGCTATATAGAACCTTAACATGTTGTGACTGAAGCGGGGCAAGGGACATAAGCTATTTTGGCAGAGCAACTGCTACCCCTCAGTACCTCTTAGAAACATCCCTGCTTCTAAGATATGGTATAGAATCATAGAATTGTAGGGTTGGAAAATACCCGGAAGGTAATCTAGTTCAACCCCCTGCACTGCAGGAAACTTGACTAGATCATACATGACAGGTGGCTATCCAACCTCTGCTTAAAAACCTCCAAGGAAGGAGAGTCCACCACATCTGGTGGGAGTCTGTTCCACTGTCAAACAGCTCTTACTGTCAGAAAGTTCTTCCTGATGTTTCGTCCGGATCTCCTTTCTTATAAGTTGAAGCCATCCGTTCAGGTTCTAGCCTCTGGAGCAGGATAAAACAAGCTGGCTCCATCCTCCATGTGGCAGCCCTTTAGATATTTGAAAATGGCTAAAGGAGAGAGAAAGGGACACGGGTGGCGCTGTGGGTTAAACCACAGAGCCTAGGACTTGCTGATTAGAAGGTCGACAGTTCGAATCCCCGCGACGGGGTGAGCTCCCGTTGCTTGGTCCCTGCTCCTGCCAACCTAGCAGTTCAAAAGCACATCAAAGTGCAAGTAGATAAATAGGTACTGCTTCAGCGGGAAGGTAAATGGCATTTCCGTGTGCTGCTCTGGTTCGCCAGAAGTGGCTTAGTCATGCTGGCCACATGACCCGGAAGCTGTACGCTGGCTCCCTCGACCAATAAAGCAAGATGAGCGCCGCAACCCCAGAGTCGGTCACGACTGGACCTAATGGTCAGGGGTCCCTTTACCTTTACCTTTAAAGGAGAGAATGTCAACAGGAGAATGCTAGGTATGCAATTAACTCACCAGTTAAAATCAGCATGACTTAAATTTTGGATTTGGCGCCTTTAGAAAATCAGAATGAGGCAAATAGGCATGGCTATTTTTGTGTATACAGTGGTACCTCTGGTTACGAATGCTTCTGGTTACAAATGCTTCAGGTTACGAGCTCCGCTAACCCGGAAATAGCACCTCCTGTTTGCGAACTTTGCCCCAGGATGCGAACGGAAATTGCGTGTCGGACGTGTGCACACAAGGGGAGGCCCCATTAGCGAAAGCGCGCCTCAGGATAAGAACGGTTTCAGCTTAAGAACGGGCCTCCGGAACGAATTAAGTTCATAACCAGAGGTACCACTGTACTTGGTAAAATTGATTATATTTGCATAATAGTATCTGGAAGTTGCTTAAATAACTTTTACTCCCATTTTGGAGTAGGTAAAATAAAGTTTGTTGGTTTGTTTCAGTTATCTACCCAGATAGTTTAGAATTTCTCAACAAAAAGACGTCTTTAAAAACGTACTGAAGGAATTAACGCTTTAATGTTGCCCTGCAAAAAGGGCTTTCAAACATTTCAAGCACAGTTTAAGCCTCTGCAGTAATTAGGAGATGTTAAGGGGTTAAAAAAAATCACCTTTTATTGATAGCATTTCAGAAGCCAAGAAACTACTGCAGAGGGCATTAATTTCCCTGATAGGTTTGTTAAACCATTTGTGGGATGTAGTTATTCTTCCCTGCACGAAAGGTTGACAACAGAAATTATTGAATGGCTCAGTCATTCCTGAGACTTTCCCCCTTTGGGCAGGTCAGTGGAAGGTTGTTTCAGTGCCACTAACTAGGAAGAGAATTCATAACTTGGAACTGCCTGAGGAATCTGTCCACTCTCATAATACAGTTTCTTGGAAGTTGTAATTAGTAGTACTGTGCCAGACCCCATAAGAAAAACGAAACGCATATGCCAAATTAGTTGCTTTTCTTTGGGTCTTTTTCATCCGAATAATTATATAGGCCAGAAATCATCATCATAAAAGAAGAACGTTTATCTGTCGTTATCCCTCAAACTAAAAAAAAATAGGCATTCCGCTCTTGCTGTATTAAAAATAGGCAATAAATGAATGTATAAATGCATGAATGTTCATGCAGCGCTTTTTTAAAAAAATCAGGTGAATAGCCACTTTAAGAATTGGGCGGGGGGGTGGGGGGTGGGAGGCTGCACCATTGTTCAGTTTTCTCATATGAAGGCCTGTCATTGCACTGCAGCTAAATGTTTGCCTGTTGCTTC